CCCTGCCATGCTATGAGATGATCCACAGAAAGAATAGCCGTGTACAACCCGAGTGCTGGAGCTGGTCACTGGCTAATTGTGCACAGTGTGCTTTTAAGTTGCTGTGATGAATCCCCTCTGTTCATGGCCAGCCTCCATGCTGAATGCTCTCTGCTACCCGGACTAACTCCTTCCCAAGGGCACCATCACTAAGTCAACAAAGTTGTGGTATAAATGCATGTGTCCCATTGTTAGGGGTTGGAGAGCCAAAACTGACAGGGGTTTGTCAGGAACACCCACAAAGATCCCTAGACACAGAGGAACCAAGTGTAAAGCTCCAAAGTCCAGCATCTTGCAACAGCAGGAGCCAAGCACGGTCAAGCAACATCTGAACATTTGTTTTTCTGCTTCATATGCTTCCCAGTACTTTCCTTGAGAAATATAGAGGATTAATAATTTTGGATACAGAGCCTGAGTTCACACAAACACATATGAAACCAGCAAACAATACCCCCATTAAACACACGGAGAAGCTCAGAGACTGGAGCAACTCACCTCCAAGAGTTTCACCGAAGTCCCACAGGAAGGCTACAGAGAAGCCAGAAATAGAGCCCAGACCTCCTGACTCCAAGCCCTGGGCCCTAACAAAAACAACGGCTTCCCTCCACCATCCCTCTCTTCATACACTACATTGACCAGACTGGAAAAGGCATTCAAAATAAATAACAGTCGCTTCTTGCGCCAAGTTTTAAAAAACATTTTCTTGTCATGGCTGGTTGTTTTTCTCCTGCTAGACGTTAGGCAGTCTCCACCAAGTGAGACAGCTCTCCTTTCTTCTCCAGGAAACACAGTTGTCTCACACATGTTGCACTCAATGTAGCTCAAACGAATGTTTTAGGAAATTCCCCCTAATTCGGTGAAATTGTTAGCTTGGCAGTGGTGCACTGGAAACAGGACTGAAAGACTGCCTTGGATTTTTTTTTTTTTATTTTTCCTTTTTAAAGTGTACAGGAGAGCTCAGGCTTCAGACAGGCTGCTGAGGAAGACAGAAATTCATGTTACATATGAAGGATTTGGCAGGCCTGAACACAGAAATTTCCAGAAGTGTTTGCGTGGCAACAGCTCTGTGCCAATCCACATTTTTTAGCTATTCTGGCCGGATGCCCAGCTGACAAGAAAGTCTTGTATCTCCACGCAGTTCACTGGCTTCCCTGAGGAGTTTCCATACTGCATGGCAACATTGGATAATCTCATTTGCGCGCCAGAAAAACTCCTGCTACTTACACTGTTACTAAATACCAGATGTGCTTAATAAAGAGTAAGTGGAGCCAAACCTAGGGTAATCACATAACCTATCATTAACATTTTCTAAAAACAAAAAAATGCCATTGGAACAGCAGATTACTGTTTTGCTTTGTTTGCTTTACGCCCTGTTACGGGAACCCCTGGGGTGCTGGGAAGGGAGCTCGGCAGGAGCAGACAGCTCTGGCACGGCCGATGACATTGTTTACAATCACACCCCTGCACATCTGAAACATGTGTGAGAAAGTAAAGGCTAAGCAGATTTCCCCTGCACTGGAGAGGGAGGGAAGGATTGCAGCAGGAAGTCTACGCCACCGAGAAAGTGGTGGAGTCCTGTTTCTTCATCCCGGGGAGGTGGCCAGGGAGGGGGGATGCAGCAAGGGCAGTGTGAGTTTGCTCCTTCATGACATGTACATCCCCAAGTCCCTGGTGCACAGGAATGTGGGAGTGGGCCTTGTTCCTTGAAATTTAATGTCTGCCCAAATCCTCCAAGCCCATTTAATACACGGTTTTGTGTGAGTCAGGGGGCCAGTCACTGCACAAAATGTGTGCGCACATTTATTATGGATTTAAATGGATGTTGCACATGTGCATATCTGATGCTGGCCAGACCCTTCAGGGAAACAGCTAAGTCATAGCGATGGCAAGTGAATTCTGCCATGACAGGCTGTTAGGAGAAAGAGGGAAGCAGAGGCACTCTGACATTTGCAGATGCTGTGCGGCCCTTGCCCAGAGCCCAGAGAGCTGCAGGCCACCTGGGTGTGAGGGGGACAACCCTCCCAAAAACAAGATGTGTGTGAAAAAGCTGGTTTCTCCCTCAGCCATTTCTGCAGTTGATATGGAAGAAAGAAATTAAGGAGAGGTTTTGTCTTTATTGTAGTATCCACTGCTATCCAGATGGAAGAGAAGTCTGGGAAATGCACAAATGCACACTGGCTGGATCCTCCCAAGGATGGCCATCCCTCACAGGTCTGCTTGCTCCAGCTTGGTGGAAACCAAGGCAAGGGGATGGGAGCAGGGACAAGCCCAGGCCCTGCTTGTTGTGTACATGAAGGCGGGGAGCAGTGAGTCATCCTCATCACGCAACAACCCAGAGCCATGTCATTGCTCTAGTCCCTCAGGCAAAACCCTGACCCACATCAGTGGGAGTTGCAGCTATGCAGAGCCGGGATATCTGATGCCAGGAGCCATGCCAAGGGCATGGGGTGAAGAGGTCACAGCGGGTGTCAGCCTGTCACGGCTCAGGAGCAGGAAGGCAGCCACAGCCCCACACTCACGTGGTTCTCAATGTGACTCAAACCCAGTGTTTTCCAAAGGCTTGTTGCAAGAACAGAAAAGCCAGCAGAACAGGGAAATACAGTGGTCTTGATGCTGCAAGCCCTCTGCCTGTGCCCTCCCTGCTCAGCCCCTTTCTTTGTACCCACTGTGCAAGGTTGGGCCCAGACTCCATTTCAGCCCACAAATTCAGCAGCACCAGTCTTAAAGGCTGTGCAGTGTCAGCGAGTAGCACTGCTGCCTGTGTGGACCCCCAGGCCAAACAGACTCTACAGTCTTGTACTCCTGGCATGGGAACCAGCTGCACAGTGGGAGCAATGGAGTAGCTGGTCCTGCTTGGGCCAGGTTTTGCTTGATCTAAGTATTGCCTGGTTGGCCCCCAGCCACAGGCTTAAGGCAGCAGACAACTCAAGGCACTGAAACAGCTGTGTCCCCACCACCTATTCTGCCTGCAGCACACTCCTGGACATCTGGGCTTGCTTCTGCCACCACTTAGGGGTCAGGCTGAAGAGGACATGATTAGCCTGTTCGGGGGGTGAAGCTCTATGTCAGTTGGGTCCTGCCCCACATCTCCCCTTTCCAGCTCCATCCTTCCCCTTGTCCCACGGCTGGAGTGGCCCTGGCTGCTCAGCCTTCAGCTGGCAAGACTCAGTTTTGCTTGTACTACTGAGAAGGCCCAAGTTGGGTCTAAACATCCTCCAGTGTGCCAGTCTTGTTGCAGGCACTTCTTGTCTTTGACACCATAATGTCCTGGGCACTCCTGGAGGGCTGAAGGAGCAGCGTGTGACCTGGCAGCCCGAGCAGGAGACAGGAAGCCTCCTCCACCCACAGTACCGGCACAGAGTGACCAGCTTTCTCAAATTAAAAACCTGGGGCAGCAACGAAGTAGCCAGCAGCACACTCCCCTTGGTGTGCCCACTCCCTGTCAGCCCGAAGATTTGGTATCAGTGGAGGTCCCAGTTAGGGTAAGCCTCACCCCACCAGCTGTGGGTGGCATGCAAGAGAGCCAGGAGAAAATTAGGTAGCGGCTGCCCAGTGCTGCATCACTGTTTCCACTTCAGGCTTTAAGGATCTTCTAAAAGAGTCAGGAAACAGCAGAGAGGAACAGTTAATCAGCTGCATAAAGGCACTCCTTCCTTCCCCTCACTGCTGCCTGGGACTCTTGGCCCCTTGCCCACCCCACCCTGCCAGACACCTCCGGTCAGCTGCCTCCCTCTTGGCCTCCTCCTGGGAGGCTGAAGGGTTGCTCAGGCAAGGCTCATTGACTGCAAGTATCCAGGCGCTTAGACACACCCCACCAGATCTGCCCCTTCCTCACTGCGATGCATAGGCCGTTTGCTTCAGTTTGTAGGTGAACCAACAGAAAGATGTTTTCCTGCAGCTGCTTCCAGGAGTCCAGCAACTGTGTACTGCTCTTTGGAGTTCGCTTTGTTTGTTGTGTTGTAAAGGGGAACCCATCAGATGGTCCTGAAAAAGAACACCTAACCCCAGCCCCAGTTGGCAGCAGGAAGGACGGGTCCTGCCAAGCAGTCACAAGGCACGCCACAAACAGCTTGCTTCACCTCCCCGCCAGGAAACAAAGTCCAATGCCATTAAGAGGCTTCAGTTTGCAAACTGAAGATGTTTCCCCTGCCTCCGATCCCCATAGGTCAGACTCCTAAAAGACCAAGTCCTGCTCCTCAAGATTTTCATGAAGGCCTTATTTCTCAGATTTAGAACTTCTCTTTTCTAAAAGGCAAGTCTTGTTAACCTATATTGTTGAAATACTAACTGCTGCTGTGACCTCTTCTTTGCTATGCTTCATGGCTAGTCATGGTTCTCTAGACACATGAGGTCCCATGAGTCCAATGGGGCTGGCCCATGGGACAAGCCAGCCCACTTGGCAGAAAGGCAAATTTAATACAGAGATTGCTGCTCTTCACAGTGGATCAGGATGCATGTGGGGTTTCTCTGTTCTGCTGCAGCCATGTGCAGGAGACAGGCAGAACTGGATCTGGACTTGGCAAGGCATTGTACAGGTCTGAATCATGGGGCAGTCCTTGACCTGAAGAGCTATCTTGAGAGAGACAAGGCAATAAAAAAGATTGAACAAGGAAGCGGAGGGGTCATAAAATGAACTTGCAAATACCACCATAGTGCCATGATCAATGTGAAAAGAGATGGGTTTTAAGGTCTTTATTAGGAAATAGCTAATGGAGAGACATGAGAAGGGCAAGGGCAGGAAGGAGCAGGGAGAGTAGATGAGTCAAGGCTGAGAGGAAAGGAAAGGGGAAAGGGAAGACAACCCTGACAGGTCCCACTATACCTTCTCCTGATCCCCAGCAGCCAAGAGATAGGGGAAGGTGCACAAAATCGTTCCTTATATGTGTAGTAAAGATGGAGGGGTGACTCCATCACTTAATTTCTTACACTGGTGAGCCTAAGCTGACCCTGTCTTTTCCCATGTCACAGGGCTGCTGTATCTGTTCTAACAACTTCTCCTAGCTTCCATCAGTCCAGAGCCAAAGTTGGACAAGAAGGCAACACAATGTCAGGAACAACTGCAACCTAATGCACACAGGAAAGATCTGCTAGAGCTCTCCAACACATTGACAGGTTTTATCTTATCTGTTGCCAGGAGGGACAAAGAGCTAGAGGGACAGTGAAGGTCACTCAGGCACTTAGGAGAGCTCAGAACAAGGGAATAACTGATTACACTGAAGGACATCACATTTGCAGTTAAGGCTGAGCTCCAAAAGTATAGGGGGAAGTGTTTCTCTTCCCCAGCCCAGCATAATAAAGGCTCCCCACTGGCCATGCCTACAACCATGTGGAAGTGTCATTCCCCTTCCTGAGTCCCCACCATGGCTTGAATGAGGGAGGATGAGCAATAAGCCTGTAAGTACTTACAAGAAAAGGCTTAGCACAAAGTGCTTCTGGGCACAGCTCTGTTGCCAGTAAAAAGCATGATGAAAAGCATACTTTCTTTGATGAAGCCTCATTCGAGTGGTTTATGGGTAAAGGTGAATCTAGTATATATCATATTTGTCTGATGGCAAACAGAACCCACTTGTGAAATCCATCTGACTAGATGTTCTGAGAAAATCTTCATGAAACATCTGCAAGCTTTGAATCACTCCATTGTTGTCAGGGTTTCAGCTGGAAATTGTTCTGGATGTGAGGGAATGGTGGGTCACTAATGGCTTATTTCTTATTAAATGCTTTGGGTTTAGGGACTTTGAGGATATGTAGATATTTTTCTCATTTGCAGCTTCACATGAAGCAAAATAGTAGATGAAGATAAATAGCCAGAGCAACTTTCCTTTTGCTTGAGTAGTAAAGACCCAGGTTATTGCTGTGTTAAGAAAATGTGAAAATATGTGAAAAGTGATTTTGAGCCTCTAAAAGAGAATAGCTCTGTCACTGATCCAGATTAACAGACCTTAAGATGCAACTGCAGTGGGTCAAAGAGGAAGGTATGTGCTCTGATTATGTCCTGGAGAGAGACAACACATCTGGCTTAACCTCCCAGCTCTGTTGTTGACATCCTATAATTTTATCTATCTCTCTTGCTTTAATACAGCAATTTGAGAACACCAAAACTAATTGACTGTTTGTGTTTTTAGAGTTAGATACGCTGCTGGATGGCCCTTAAGTCCTCTGGTCAAAAATGGCAAGTGTAAGATGTCCCTCCTGCCAGCTTCAGCCCAGAGAGAGCAGTTTCATGCTCTAGGGAACTGCTGAGAAGATGCATTTGCTGGACACCCTCCCCATCACCTCTGCTTGCAAGCAAAGCTTTGCAAGTTATCTCCTAAGTTTCACTGGAGGGGAAAAAAAAAGTAACTACAGCTGTCCGAATTCAGTCCCGCCTTGGTGGACTTTCTGATGCTTAGGGCTACCTGCTAGTGTCCCCACTAGCTCAGTCTGCTGCCAATTCAGCTTTCTCTCACTTCATTTCCTCAGCTGTTAAACGATGCTGAAGTCACAGTCAGGGAATGAGAACCTCCATGGAAAGATCTCCTGAAATAACGAAAAGTGCAAAATAAAACTGGCTTAGGTGTTTGAGCACTGCATCTGCGTGTCATGTAGCTGTGATGTTGGCCTACAGACAGCAGAATGAAATTGGCCATTGGCCAGCGCAAGCCAGATCAGGTCCAGACCCCTTCATGACAACTCCCACTACTCCAGGTGCTGGTTAAAGCATTGCACCCCTGCCTGGGCTCCAGGCATGGTCTTGTCTTTTCCTTTGCATGCACAACCTTTAAGATAACTAGGAGCAAGTTGGGAGATCCCACAGTCGTTGCTCTCACCCCCTGGCCCTGTGGCTCAGCCACACACGCTGCCCTACACTGACAGCAGCTGAGGGCTGATCGTGATGGGGATTTTGTGAGTGACATGTTAAAAAGCTGCTTCGCAGGCTCGCCCAGGGGTTGCTGTGGCTGATTCTGCTCCCTGTCGCACCTGCCGTGCCTGCAGCTAGGACTGTGATGGCTGCAACTCCCTAGGATGGTAGACTTCTAGTGCCGGGAGTGACAATGGGCACAAGTCCTTGCCTGGCCATGTCCCTTCAGTGTCCTACTGGGAGGGCTCAGGAGTCTCATCCTTCTGTCCAGTTGGTGGGGCTCCCCCTCCCTTCCCCACATCTGTGCCACGGTCTCTCAGCTATAACACTGCTGCAAAACATGGTGGTCAAACACCAGTGAGGCGAGCTCTTTGCAGCTTGCCAGAGTATTAACAGTAAGGGGTAATTCTGCAAGATTTGGCCCAGGTGTAAGTGGTCATCCTTAGCAACCATATGGCTATGGCTGAAGCCCAAATGGAGAGCAGAGCATCTGCCACCGAGCAAGGTGGTGGAGGCATGGCAAAAGACCACCCCAGCCCTCAATGTTTAAAATACAAAAGATCATGACCCTGGGGGAAAGGAAGTGATTTTACGGTATTACTGAGAGGAACAGAGGCAGGCAGCTCTTGGGATCTCCCAGTATCACACAGAAAATGCATTACGTGATCAGGAATGAACACAGATTCCACAGTTCCCAGTCCAATAGCAGCCATCATACTGGTTCCTGCCCAGTATGGGCCATCAGGATGCATTCAATACTTTGAAATGTCAGCTGTCTATTTATGGCTGCTGCCTATATTACTCCATGAAGCAGCATCTTTCTTTTTTTTACAAACTCACTCCAAGTTTCCTTGAGTACCCCACTGACACAGGGTAAATTTCTGAGAGTAATCTTTCCTCCTTTTTCCCAGAAGAGCGAACATCTGGGACTACTGAGATATCATCTTGTGACATTGGCTGACTTTTTTCTTTAACGAGTTTCTGTGTAACAACTTCATGATGTTTTTCCTGGGAGGACAACTGTCTCATCTAAAACCTTGTCTCACATATTCCTTTATAGAAGGATGTTTTATGCTAAAGCTCTTGAAAGAATTTCCTTTCATGCTCCGTCCCCACCTTTCCCTGTTTAATTTCTCCCAAATGTCTCTCTGATGCTTAACCTGCAGGTCGCCCTATTCACCAAAAACAAAGCAAAACGCTGGTTTGAATAAGCTCAGGATACATGGATGTCATTTCTGAAGATTAGCAGGCCACATGATACTATCAACTTTATTTGATCCCATTTGCTGGAGCAGCCTGAATTTCGCAGGGGCAGGGTTTTTTTAATCCTAGTTCATTATTGTTCAAACCCATCAAGCAAATGGCCATGGAGCGGAAGCTTGAATGGGCTTGTTTAATAAACAGGCGAAGTCATTCATCTGCAGCATAGCAGCTCTGCAGCAAGGCTACGTCTTCCCCCTCCCGTTTCTTACTGGGTCTGCGTCAGCAGCAGTTGTGTTAAACCCTGGTAGGGAAGTGCTAGGGAGGGTAAATCTTTGGTTTCGGGCTAACTGCTTTTGCCTACTGCAAGAAATCATCGCTGAAACAAATGGTCTGATTGTTTCCATGGGTCAGTTGCCTATTTTAAAATTATTTCTCACCTCTCACTTGGCACTTCTGACATGCCCCACAGCAGGCTGTGTTCTTTATCTGAGTGAGGGACAGGCAAAGCAGCAACCAACTCAGGCCCCAAGCTGTAGCCTTGGGATCTGTTGATGATACATTTGCAGCTCCCTTCAGTTTTTCTCATTGCTGCCATGGAGAGCAGAGATATGCTGTGAAACCATGGCACCTGCCAGCTTTGGGAAACTAGCCCTAAACTGTCACGATGGGCATGTCCCAATGAGCTAGGAGCTGCCCTGAGCTTCTTTACCCCCTTGACTCGCCCCATGTTTGAATTAAGGATCAGACCCTCAGCTGGCGTGAACTGGTGCATGGAAATTTAGTGGAGCCCTGCCAGGTAGCAGCAGCTGAAGATCTGGCACCCGAATCTATCTTTTATACATAAAACTTGCTATTTTTGCAAAACCTTTCCTTTCGCAGCAATGCCAGAAAAGCGCCCCAACTGCATTTCCCCTATGAAAGCGTGAATGTAAGCTGTTGTTGCTGGACGCTGGCACCAAGGACATGTTCAAGACAGATAACTGCTAGTATCTGTCATGGTGCCATTTCTGCACCGAGCAAAGAAAGTGCGTGGGAGCCCTCCCCGTCCCCCCTGCTCCCTGCCTGCTAAAACTCAACTGAAACTCATTACATACCAGGAATACCAGCGTCCCCGCAAAGCCTGTGCTGTGAGGAGGAGGCTCTCCCTCGATCTCTTTTTTCCCTTCCGCCCTGCTTGGCTAGGTCTTTGGCAGAGCCCCAGGACTTCGGGGGG